GGTCTAGCGGTTTCGGAACCACGACGAGAAGAAAACCTTTCGCAAGGAGATGCGGTCATGGTCATTGCTCGTGACGAAGAAACGGGAAGATGATGGTCCAGGTGTCACAGAATCATGGAGAGGTTGAGAATCGGGCCTTTTAGAAGTCGGTTTGCTTGGATGATTGATAACAACACTGAGCACACTCCATTCAACCAGGCATAGTGGCCCTTTTCATTTCAGGGATTGATCAAGTGCTCGACAGACGGGACAAAGAAGGCCCCGGGAGACGTCAATTCAGGTTTTGAAGTGAAGACTGCCTCGGAATATGTGGGAAGTGATGGTGAATGTATTATAGATAGACGTGTTTCGCACGAAACTAGTGTCGTTTTAGTGTAAGCGTCTGATGCAACCGCCGTTGCGACCTTTTCGTTCGAACGAGCGCAAGTCTTTCTTCGTTTCTGTACGGTTTCACTATCTGAGGAGCTGGGGACAGTGATTAGTGTGCACGTTATTGAGAGGAGAAGAAGGAAGCACCGGAGCTCCGCCTCCTGTCCGCTTTGTTTTCCTTTCAACATGGTTTTTGCTTCTCGTGCCTTGAATCTCTCACGCTTCTTTGAATCTTTCCACCACGATAAATGAACTTCAGTAACTCTTCTGCGCGTGAAGGGTTTATTATCATCGGTACTTCCGCTATGGACTGCGCTAATGCCACGCTTGCTGAATCCCGAGAAGGCGGCTCACGTTCAGTCGAATTACCATCCGGGACTGTGATGATACTCATCTCGACTCGATGTTTTCTTCGCTGTTGTAACGCCTACGCCAACTTCTCAACATTCAGTCCCTTACAATCTCCGGTCTCCAATTACCCGTTTACCCGGACTATTGCTATACAAACAAGCTCATTATTTCACCTTCGTTAGTCTTATTTTACCCCAGTACTTGTACATACGTCGTTATAAAACCTCCTTGTGTCCAGGTCGCGGGTGAACTAAGGCTCTCAGCTACCTATACCTAGACGTCTCGTCTAGGGAGCTATTACAGCTGTTCTTATTCTTTCTCCAGTTGTTCAGGACTATTCGAAGCGGTCGTATCATTCCAAAACTTATATATAGTACCAGTAGACCTACTTGGCTCGTGCCAGTTCCTCCTTTCTGAGTCTCTGAGCGCGGCCTTTGACGGTGCTTTCGACTTTGGTTGACGCCTTCTCCGGGTGTCCACAGGATAGTATAGATCTAGAATGGCATCGGCTTGGGAGTCTGCTGACGTGGGAGGATCCATGGAGGTACATATGTAATGTGGGCTCTTATGTATATCATTTCAAGTGGAAACTCTGGTTCCGTGTAATAGACCGTAAATGGTCATAGACAAGCAATAAGCCTAGACTCAAGTCAATGAACACCGACCGGCGAACGCTATCCTGCCGAGCAAAATTTTCAAGTTGGCGTCAAGGTTGACCCTCAGGAGTGCCGCATTCTTATAACACCCATCCTTATTTGAGGCACTCTGTGGAAACCTTTATTTAGTCTATTGGTTAAACGATCATGATCATTTTGGTACATCGCACAACGGAGATTACTACTGCCTGTAGGCAATATTCACTGTATCCAATGATTGTCGTTCTTCCACCATTTCAGTCTCTGAGTTATGATCCGCGGCTCGCCATGACAAGGAACCACTGTTTTAATGCTCTATCTCTGAAGCTCGAAACGTCGTCATCTCGGTCCTCAGATTGTTGAAAGCAATGCCCAGGCTCACTCGAACAATGACAACGGATGCTGTAATTCCCTAAAATGAGTTAGAAAAACAGTTCTGAACGAAATCTATGCACTTACTGCAAGAGAAGGCCACGAACGAAGTAGAATCGTCTGAATGAGATTATTTCGGCTCTGTGCAAATGATTTTGCGTGGTTTCGAAACCCATCGATCTCGATGGCGGCAATGGTGATTAAAATTGCGGAGTAAACGATTCCAGACTCGAGTCTGTATGCTTCGTAGGTCACCAGACTCACTGAGGGAGATCGGTAAGCTCACGTTGAAGCAATGATGGTCCTATACATATTTCGTGATTTTTGCCCCACGTATAGCGTTACTTGACGAGTAATGGACAAGATTCTGAATGCTAGCAAATGTCTTGAGTTGTTATTGATAATGGAAACGTTATGCACCTATGAGAAAAGACAGCAGCAAGTTGTTCAGTGCAATTCCGCCAATTCCCAGTGTGTAGGCTAAGTCTCGACGGAACACTAGTGTGCCTGTGTAAAAAAGTGAATCGAGAGCTCTCGGAAATGACGATGCAAACAACTCACTGTGAACGCCGAGGTCCAACATCAAGGGAACGATGACGATTTTCCACTGCTTTTCCCAAACTATGTAGCATCGCCACAACTGCCAAAATCTCGGTCAACCTTTTCTAAAAGACTCTGAGTTATTCTTACCAGAATGGTGTCAGCTACAAAGCTAATCATCATTCAGCAAGGCACTAGGTAATAGAAAGACCACTAACCTGGAAGCCATTCCAAATATGATGTACAGCGAAGCTGGAATGTCGAAGCTAGCGAGATGTTAGGCCACAGTCTTTACAACCAGTATAAATGACCCCAACCTGTGACTCAAATCATTAATATCTGCTAAGGTGTTGGTAATAAAGCTCGTTGTCGCAAGCAGAAAGATCAAAGTATTGGCGAATAAATGATATTTCCGCGATGCTTGAGTTCGCTTCAAGAGGATGTGGGTGCAAACTCCAAATGTCACTGTGTGTACACCTACAAGAATTGAGTCTCCATCAAATACGTTAATATAAGTTGCTCACCGTAAACCACAGAATGGAACTATATATATGGTAGATGAGAGATTAGAGCTGGGGAACCCAAGCCGCACGTACCGCCGCAGACACCATGAACATTGCTGGTCCCTGACCAAATATAAATATCATGCCGAGTTCGTTGAGAAAGATGGGGGACAATAACGGTATCGAGTCTTGAGCGAGTTATTGATATAGACACACTCGAAGCGAGTAGAAGCCAAGATCCGCTATACAATACCAAAACCAGTTTAATGAATGGAATAACTGCACTTCCCGATCATGGAGTCACTGAGAAAGGTCCACCTCCGAAGGACAGGAAAAACCGAAGAACCGGAAACCCTCTCCAATTCAGCGATTCTGTGAGCGTGTATGTAACATGGATCTGACAAAAGAGAGATGTATCGCATAGCCACATTTCCACTTGGGGCCTCTGATTGATCATAGACGGGACTCAACATCACGACCTGTGAACGCATTATGAGCGCTCTAACTCTTCATCAACTTCTGCTCCATGATCGCGGTCCGCTGCTTCCAATGGCATTGATCTCCAGGGAAACTGTGATGCCGGAGTTCCATTGCAATCGCCGACAACGATCCCCAAGCTGGCTCGTACGACAACGAGAGACGTTACAATAACCTGCGCGATCGAATGAATAAGTACTTCGTGACAGTAGCACCAGGACAACTTGTGAACTAACCGCAATCAACGGCCATATCCAAAGTAAGATCTCCTGAACATGGTTCTTGCCAAGCGTATCATCAGACTTGATGTACGAATCAGTCGTGGTGACAGCGACTGTGATAAGAAATGACACATAAAGTACCCCAGTTTCATATCTGTACATGACGTGAATTGTTGGAAATGCTCGGGTCGGAAAAGGGCTGGAATGCTCACGCTGCGATGATGACAGTTCTGTATACAACTCGTGATTGGTGACCTACGTATTGAGCGACGTAGCGACTTGATAAGTGTGCCTTTAACGCTTATTGATACTGTGAGTAATCTATACCCTTGAATACGAGCTATTTGATCAACCAGCGCACCTATGAGGGAGACAAGGAGTAGATCATTGAACGCCACTCCCCCTAGTCCATGTGAGGATGCGACGAATTGCAGACTCAGTAACACGATACCTATGTGACAAAGACATTGAGCTGGGAAACAAAAGACATTCGGCTCAGGAATCGAATAGTTACCATGCACAACCACGTCCAACACCAAAATGACGAATTTCAGTCGTTCTGCCCGTGACCATAGCTGCCAATATGTCAGTTCACTCTTACACCGTCCTATAGTCGTGTTACCAGAACAGTGTCACATATAACGCTGCCGGAGCACTTGATAAGCTATCCTGCAGACAAGAAATTCAATTACTTACCTCGAAGTAATCCCTAGCAATAACGGAGATCTCGGGCCCAATGGCAGATTGACACAATCACTAATGCGACAGTCAACAATCGTGATCATCATCCCAGTTACACCTTGAATCGATTTGACCTATCGCGAACACCATAGACATCCATTAACGTGTTGAACCCGAGGATTGCCGCCCCATACAGAAATACAAGTGCATTGGCGAACAGGCCGTATCTGCGAAATGCTCCAGGGGTGGCCCGCGTTTGATTAAGGACAAGGTGTGTGCAAACTCCGGATGTTACTGTCCAGACACCTTTATTCCACCACATCAGAGAATTTGGAGCTACATCGGACAAACGGGCTCACCGTATAGAACGATATTAAGCTATGTTGTTGTACGTACAGTGAGAACTGATTCAACACAGGACAATTCAGTTTTACATACCACTGCAGGCAATATAAACAGCATCGGTTTAGAAATGATGATTATCAGGGAGGTAAGGCGCACTTGAGAATCGAGCTTAATATACAGCAACGCCGCCCGGCAAGATTTCGGCTTGATGAATAGTCTATGGTGCCGGCAAGCCGCAACAAATATCCCGGCTGCCTTATACTTACCTCGACTTGCACATAACACGAGCTAACACGTCACATATCTCAAAGTTTAGTATAAATAGAACACGCTTCTGCCGAGTAGTCAACATCACATGAGTCTGATCTGCTACTGGCCTCGAGTAGTGGGCATGCATCGATATGCCACTGAGGAAGACCCTGCGGTTGTCCACACATAGACATTCTACTGAATGCAAAGTACCCATATTCGCGGGAAAGAAAAACGTGCACGTACCCTGCTTTACCAGGTGCTACCAGCGTTCGAACCTGGGTTTCGGGAAGAGTCATCAAAATCCCGAGTGATGACCACTATACTATAGCACATCTCTGGTGGGAGAGCTAAAGGCCTTGCCGGGTAACGATTTCTTGGCAGAAAAGGGAGGCGAGCATAGGTATCTGTAGCAGAGATGGGGGAGGGGAAGGTGGAGGTTCTTCTCGCTATTTCTGACTTCATTCTCAAGGGCCATCTTTCAGCAAACATAACGGTTTACCGAGTCGGTACCCCTGGGCCCTCACCTAACCTTGGAGAGCTGCATTTCCCACTAGTGTCTCCTTCATACCTAGGGTAAATGTGGGTGTGCTGCCTGCGATGCGATATCAGTACCCCACATCGAGTTGAGGGGAACTGTATCTATGCTTACCGAGGAAAACCAATCGTCCTTTCATACACGTTGGATGCGGGTGAGATGGAAAATGAGAACGAAGGTGCCATGGAAGTGAGATTGCTATATCTTGCACTTCGTGGAAGGGGTGTGATGTAGACGGAGTACAGAGATTCCACATAAGTAGTCATATCCAGAGTATGTGCAAAAAAATGTTGAAGACAGCTGTAGGGAGAGGAAGCGGCTGAAACGACAACGCCCAAACGACACCTTGGTGTAGGTTCTAAGGTTGCGAACCAGTCTTTCTTCCAGAAAAAGGGATGTTGACGGGGAATCGGCGCCAGGAGGTAAGGAACGGGGTTTTGAATGAATGGAAAGACGACTGTCAGAGAATAGAGTACGTGTGGCCAGAATAGATTCACATAGCTCGACGTCTAGGACTGTACCCCCATATCATCGATCCTCTTCAACTCCTGATCTCATTCCCTAACCATCACATTCAGTCACACGCTCCGTAGATTCCAACAAACAAAGTATATTTGGCGAGGGTCGCAGCCGGAGTTGTCGATGTACGAAGAAGGCGAAGGATGTTCGCGTCGCAGAGACTGTTTGAATGCTGGTCAGAAGGGCTATAGAAAAAAGGAGAGAATTGGCTGCGTTCCGAAAAAGGACGTGTGAGAGGATGTGGTAGCTGCAGCCAGGACAAACTCACCTTACGAGACGCTGTTCTGGTATCAGTGGTAGCTCCTTCCAGAGCCACGCGATCACTCGGCAACGCTTCTCAAAATCTTGGATTTCGTCGCAGAGAGCGTGAACGTGGTCAAAAAAAAACTTGAAAATCATCCAGCGCTTGCGTCATCATTGTACCTGAACCATCCACGTGGCATCCTCGTTATCTCCGTGGCAAAGCGCCATTCTTTCTCGTTCTTTACCGCCATGTTCGACCAGCCTTCAGGTCTTTTTCCAGGATCTATTTCTGTCTGATGATCGCATACAAAATTGGAAGGTGTGCAGATAATGTCGTGTTACGCTACTGATGGTTCTTTCTATGAATAAGGTTGGATATACTACACGAAATCTATCCACATACTCAATTCTCGCATTCAAGATCCACAAGTTCGTATATTGATCTCTTGGAATGTAAGAATGTTGTAAATGATCAGAGTACACACCTAGCCAATTGCTCTAACGCCTACAAAAAGAAGCCGCAAACCCACAGACAGATACTCCGAGTCAAGCCTTGCGGATCCGTGTTACATTGGCGGAGAATCTATGCGAATTTAGCTTCTCCACTCGCTGAAGCGTAGACAGGAGGTTTGCGCTCAAGGTAAGCCATTTAGGTCCTAGCCACAGCAAAACCAAAGCGTTGACGCCTTCCGGTACCCACAACAGCCCTGTATCCTCCATAACCAAAGACACGTCATTCAATGCTCTCCTTTGGGTCATGCATATTTCTCCGCCTACAGAGCTCCCCTGCGGGATTTGCTGGACCTTAACGTGATGTCTGAGAGTGACGAAGTACGTGCCAATCGCAATTCCGCGCCTTCACGTCACCCACTCAGGCTGAATCATCCTTTTTCGAGCACGACCACGACATCAGTTCTTGAGCCACCAGACCATGAGCATGCGAATACTTCGGACGTTGATGTTATCACGGGAACAACGTTCAAAGACTCACCCAATCCCGAGCCAACCGAGTTCTCCCAGTACCTTATACGGGATGATGCATATCTTGGATATTACTGGCAAACCTTCTTTTCAGCGCTGATGGAACTTTAAACGTCGATTAGACGTTTCTATCCCAATTTTCATGCCGGTTAAACGCGATTTTGATGTTCGAGATGGTCTAACCTCAGGTATTGAAATCGTTGGTACTCGGGTGTCGGTTTTTGCATACTGTTATCTGAATAGAACTTTTCTCTTGGCCAAATTATTGTCACGAGACTTCCCGGACGAAATTAAAGTAAATGAATATCTTTCCAAGATACGCTCCGAATTTAACCACCTTACCTCACCCAAGAGTACAAAAGTGATTGTGTTTGATTGAACAACCCAAAGGGATGTCCACTCGCTCCTAAAGAGGACCGGGGGCCGCTACAGTCATATAGATCCGCAGTTATGTGAGTTGCGCCTATTCTCAAGCGTAACGGCCCCTTGCCGCATCTACATTTCCTCGGATGCATTACCAGAAGGACCCGTACCTCTGATACGTTACGGTTGCCGAGCAGGCTCAAATAACACCTTGCGTTGTTCCTCGATCGTATGTGCTTCCGTCAGATATTATACTAGTTCTTCCCAGTTGTAATGTCAAGTCGGTTCGTTTGTCGCATGATTCAATGCCTTTCTTCCGTCTCCTCCGAGCGCCCATGGCGGGATTCGCGGTTTCCGTCACCTTGATACCCCGAGACGAAGTTTACATTGCCTTCCTTCCAATGCTTCAGGATTGCTGATGCGCTGGGGAACCAGCCGAATAGAAAACTTACGCGTTTTCAGGTGAGACATGTCCGTGATCATCAGGCTCTAATCACGTTCTTACGCCACTCATCCGCCCAGAGAATTTCCAAGTTCACTGGAAACCGCAGACTAATGCGACGAAGGTTTCATGATTCTGTGTTCTTGTCCTTTCCGCTCACAACGAACGGTTGGAAAAGTAGAATTACATGGCATACATATCTTTTACTTAGTGGTGCCCACAGAAGCAAGGCTGTCCAAAACATTCATTAAGATTCCTAGTGTTTCTGAATTTAGTAATATGATATATTGGCACAAAATGGAAAGATTACGAACTGGGTTTGAAAATACCCTGACCCAAATATTTGCTGCTCTGAGGACACGGAAGAAACGTTTGCGCTAGCGTTGCTCGGCGCTGGTATGAACAGTCTCTGTCCATGGGTATCATTAAGGACATGAGCATGACCATACTGTGTTACGTCGGCGAGGAAGAAATTTTGGGAGTCGTGCATAAGAGGGACGTGGTATGATGATTGATCACGATGGTGAGTTGCGCCACCGGTCGTTAACGCAGGAAAATTGTTGAAGCCTTCCTCAGAAGGGAAATCGGAGGATTGTGTGGTGTAATAATAGGAGGTTGAACTGTCTGTATGGTGAATATTGACCTGGCGGTGACCATGTCTCATAATTGGAGACAATCCCAACGATGGGAGCGGAGGCGGAGGCGGAATGATTTGTGGTGTTGTCGGTGGTGCTGAGTGAGAGCTTTGACTGACTGGGAGATATTCACATTGAAGCCCTCTCGAGTGACATCTCTCGCAGATCGACATGTCGGCTCTGGTTCCTCGTTGTGGTAGAGGTTTGCACCTGGCCTTTTGGCGGCGACAGTTGGTGCATGCTCTGAATACTCGAGGGCCACTCCTTGGTCGAGCTTTCGGTTCCATGCTAATTGCGAGGCTCTGTAAAGCGTTACTCTAGTCTCAGTACTGAGGAGCAGAGAACTTTTTAATCATACTAGTGGATTCGGATTTGTAACTTGTGTTTCACTGAAATTGTAATCGAAAGTTCGGGTACTGTATACCTCCCGGTAACTACCAAGTACGAGATACTCGTGTCAGTCATTGGAAGACTTCATTGAGCAGCATGTCAATTGAGCCTATACCTAAGTGTCAGCACCAATCGTTTGGAGGTTCGTTTCTCATCCTTCATGAATAGCAATACCGGGCCGCTAGCCTAAGGAATATATAGTCTATCTCTGGGGTGTTGCGAACATAGGTCATTATACAGTGTACTCGGGCCGACCTCAAGTTTTGGGCGCCATGCCAAAGACTACAAACCTCTCTTCCCATATGGGCCTGGTTCATTTGAGTTGAAGATTTATTTTGCCAGTCAAGTATTTCAGTTTCTCACATACACGCATCCTGTCACATTTGCTGGCTGTTACAGAAAGTATGGCCGTTTATCTCAAGCGTGGCTCCGATATTTTCCGTAGCCCCGAGTACAGAATATGCGGAAGGCATTGTGCATTGTACTTTCCGAGACAGCTGGTGCCCTGAATGTGCTTAGCCTCGGTTGTCGGACAGGTTTAATAGAGTCTAATGTCTTCGAAGACCACGGAGAAAACTGAAGATCGAAGAGATCAAATCATCAATGTATTTTTTTAGTGTCTCGTTTGACTGTAGAGTAAGGTATCCCGAAGTAAGGTTAATTGGTGAATTCTCTGCAGCCATCGTAAATGTATTTTTCAGTTTGTTCCTTATTCTGTGAACTTTATGAAGAATATAGACGCTTCGAACACCCCCAACGCCACAGGGAACAGCTCCGTAGCAGCTGAGAGAATTATGAGCTCCAAAGACCCGGGGCCTGGGTTACCAAACGGTGAAAGTCTTAGACTATTCGAAGCTTTGATGATTGGGCGTACCGCTGTCGAAATCGTGATGATGATGAATTTGATCCCCCAATGGCATGATGAGAAAGGCAGGGATACGCAGGTAATACCACCACTTTGTCTCACACCTATGAAAGTTATGATGATGGTACATGTACTGACCTTCCAAGCTCACTTTAACGATGAGCAGGGTTGTTTCCGGGACCGGATGATGTGGCACACGTTTATATATGTGGTGATGTGATAGATGTCACGTTCTTTCTAAGAATACAGACGACCAAAACACTGGCACCCGAGCTCTTCTCGCGTCTTTTGGTGCTATTCTGTGCTCTACCTTCAAAGAGCCTATCAAGCACCAAAAGTGGTGGCATGAGGATGAAGGT